AAGGTGGGTAAAAGGATGGAAAGTAGTGCTGGGCGATAAAACGATCTTGATTTTTTATCGATAAAAAATGAGGACGATCACAATGATACACACAGACTATAAAACTCGATCAACCAAGTTTGCTCCGTTTTAGAGAATGCGCTGAGACAGACAACTCGATGGCCTATTGAGCAGAGGTTTACTGAACGGCAGCACATCAGCCAATCACGACGACGTTGTAATTTTGCCCATCCTCCCTTAAAGAAGCAATGGGTGCGTTTGACTTGGGCTTAGGTCTATCTGTAGCTGACGCGACGTGGAACGCGAGACCTGACTGCAATGGCAGCACTGCCAGAAGGGTGTAGATAAATCTATACAAATATCACTTGCATGCACATTATGGAATTTTGTATGTAAACAGTAAAATTTGTTGGAAAATAAGTATTTGTTTACTAAATACTGTTTATTTCAATGTATTCATTGTATTTGTTAGAATAGGGTTATTTTTATTATTATTTTGATTATTACATTATTACATGGAACAGCATTGTGAAACTATAATATTGATAATTATCGATATCGGTCAATACAGGAAAAAATATCGTGATCATTTTTTAGCTCTAATGGAAAGAGACTGATGAATGAAAACAGAGTGTGAGTCTAGACAGTTCTGCCTGGGACAATGTGGGGAAGTCACTGTGTTAGCTGAAGAACTTGTGAAAGAGGCCAAATCCATAGGATATCATGGCCCCAAGCCTGTGCGCATCCCCCCCTCTCAGCCCTCATGTACCCCCCCCCCCCCCCTTAATCTGACTGGCTCCATCTCTGCAGCCCCCACACTGCAGGCTGATCTGAAGCAAGTGGCTGCTCCCATCAGTGAAAGGAGGGAGTCCTGCCAGCTGGTATGAAGTTAGTTACCACCAATGGGGGGGGGGGATGTGCAGCTTCCAATAGTGGTCATTTGTAACATCTTTGATGTTTTTAATGTTTATGATCCATTGGGTGAGCTAAATCAAAGGGCTCCATCGGTCTTCCCAAAAACAGCCATTTACTCATGATGCACAGCTGCCATTTTTTGTAATTCCTCAAACACATGGAGGTCACTCCACCAGCACCCCCACCCCACTTGCTCTGCCCCAGTGCAATATTAAACAGAACACAAGGTATTGCACTAGGCATATAGCTATATACAGCTAATCTAAATTTTCCCAGTGCTGGCTTCTGCACCAGTCAAGGCCGAAAGGGCTGGAGATACCCATGCTTGTCCTCCAGGAGGGTGAGCGGAGCCTAGCACAAGTGTTAAAAAATTACCTCTGTGATCATCCTGTGGGGGGAAAAAAATGCCATTGACAGGTGGGTTCCAGAAAGCGCTTCTTGCTCAGCCCTGTTAAACTGACAATACATGTGATACAGCCTGAAAGTGTAAGCAGTCCTCTTTGTTTGCAGAGAATTGCCCTTCTGCTTCACCGATCAGAATATTTTATGTGGTCATTTTAATATTAATACTGCTGCTGTTACTTAGTTCTTTAGTTTTCTAATACAAAATTGTACTTACAGTACAGGATGTTGCAGAGTTCACATTTTGCCTATTTACATAACTTAATAGGTCTCCAAAGAAACTGAATTTCACTGTCCCTTTTATAATGACATGCCAGCTCAGCTGTACAGGTACAGTGTCTACTACAAAACCGTACAGCTCCTGACTACGGGCGCTCATATATCAGTCTTTTTAAGAAATACTTTTCCGTTTGTCCTGTAACATTCATGACGTACAATATAGTTGAATTTTTCATCTCTTTTAAAATATATCAGACTATTACTATTATGACTGGAATGAGTACATTGTACAGGGCAGTGGTGGCCTAATGGTTAGGGATGCGCACTTGTAATTGAAAGATTGCCGGTTCGAATCCCTAACCAGTAAGGTACCACTGAGGTACTGCCCCTCAAGCACTGCTCCCCAGGCTCTGAATTAGCTGCCCCCTGCGATGTCCACATGTCATGATGTCACATATGGGTTAAATGCAGTGTGTCATCACTGATCACCAAATTCTAATTCCAAATGTTTCTTGGATGTTGTGCTGTTTCAGCTTTATGTATCCAAAACAGAAAAGCATGTTCTTTGTTTGGTTATGCTTGCTGAAAACAATCATTTGACATTTTGCTGCTGGAACTGCGATATAATGTTTGAACGTAGAATTAGAAATTTGAATGTAGGATGGAATGTAGAGTTTAAAAAACACAGGTTCTGGATATGACATCTCTGAAACTCCAGTTCCTAGAGAATCAAATCATTCTGACAGCTAAAGATGTTTTCATGATGTTCTTCTGAAAATATCAGTGTGGGTGATTGTGAAGCTGCTCACTTACAGGGTGGGAATTTGGACATGCTCAGGGAAAGCGGAGAAAGGGCTGGCTTCTATAATGAACCCAAACAGACATGTTGGTCTCTGAGCATGCTGTGGAGGTGTGTGTCATGGGGCAGTCCTCATGGAGGGTTTTGATTCTTGGGGGGGGGAATTTGATGGTGCCTTCTCCATACCCAAATCCATTTCCATCAAAGTTCACCCCACCTTGGTTAACATGGCAGCTTGGTCTGGTTATTTTAGGTAACGGTCACCCCTATAGCGTGAGTCCCCTGGGTCAGGTAGAGCATTTCCATCCAAAATTTGGTTCTCCCACTGGAAGTGAGCAACAAAATATGCTAGTCATACGGCTATGAAATGCAAGAGGAGAACATGTCCAGCTGGTTGGGATCTGGAAACTATGGATATGAGAAGCATTTGTGACAAGTTTTCAGACTCATTAGGAAGAGGATTTTTGAAACTTAAATACCTTAAATTTTTTTAAAAAACAGCCCACAAGCTCCACCGCAGGCATCCCACAGGTCCCCGCAGGCCCAGTATACTGCCTTGGCCTCCTTTGCACTGTGTTCACCCCACCCCACTGGGGGCGCTGTGGGGCGGCCTCAGGGATGCTGGTAAGACGGCGTGTTGAGTTGGAGCCACAAACAGATGGTGCCTGATTAATGGGAGAGTGTCACACGGTTTCATTGGGGAGCAGCAGGAGCTGATGCTGATAAGTGCCGCGCTGAGTGTCTGCCCAAGTACATGTTTACAAATCACCATCTTGACCCTTGCTGCCACCACCACCCTCCCACTTCCACCACCCTCCCACTTCCTGGTGACGAGATAGCTTAGGCAATATGTCTGCTTCTTTTTAGAGGATGATGAAAATTCACACTATGAAAGGGTTTCATTCTTATTTGCAAAGTGAACTGAGAGAAGCATTGGTATTGCATATTACAATAGCGTAAAAACGGGGGGGGGTGTTTAAGCCTGAGTCCTGGACAAGGAATGTGGATTCAACAACAGGAAGCCTGGAAACTGGAGCGACCACATTATCCTCATGCTTAAACCGGTCCTGATGACCAAAGGGAGTCTTGGACAACCTGTACTGACAATAAGGTTCCTTTCTCACTTGTCACAGAGGAGATGCCTCAGCTTGTCTCGATGTGACTTGCGCTCCGTTGCTATACCCTGTGCAGCGTCACACCCGTCCTGATCTCCCGCCTCCAGACACACAGCGACTCATTAGGGTTTAATTGGGCAACTGTCAAAAACAGGTGTGTCCAGGAGCACTCATCCAGGCCAGAACAAAAAAGCTTTTGTAGCTTTGTGATCCAAGCAACCGACAAAAGTACAAACAAAAGGGTTTTAATCTTAGAGCAAAACAAATGTCTCTTGGCCTCTGAATGAATCAGCACCTATTGCAGAAATCAACCACTTTGCCCTAGGCTCTCGTCGTTCGGTAACTTTCATTCCCACTGTTTCTAGAAATGTTGGGGGAAAACAGAATTTAACGAAGTCAAAAGCACATCTTGGTTGGGGCGGAAAGACAACATTCTGAGGGTTCTACCAGTTTGTCTTCCGTTGGGGTTTCTGTGTTCTGCGTTGGCAGTTTAACAGAACCATTAATTAACTTTGCTGTCATTGCATGTTTTGGGTCCCCGTTTTCTGTCCTCCTCTTTCTACCATTGCTGCTCAGTTCCTGCTCATCCAAGGAATACAACGGCAGACAGATTATCATGATTATCACTACTAGATATGCTATATACTGTAGGACATGTTTTGCTCAAACTACACTGACCAAGACATGATAAACATCACCTTTTGAGAGCTAAAGGTTTGCGTCACAAATGTTTGCGAAGTGTTAGTCATGTGATCACTTGATCATGTGACAGTCATTTGCTTTGCATATACTCCCTGCAGCATTCCACGATCCAGTTTGTGAGGTGGATGTCAAATGGTGGAAATATGCCAAGGTCTTTTGTTGAGGTACATTTTGTTATACTGACCTTTCCTCCAGTTACCACAGAGTGACAATTAGAACAAGCGGGCTGTGTGAAAATATGAAATAACACATCAGATGTGGATAAGCATTGACCAACACACAGTACATTTTGTTCTGCATTTGAGTATGTTATCTACAGTTTGGTATGTTTCCCATTGAGTTGATTTTGCTTTTTAATCTGTGTATTTTTATTTTCCCCCAAAGTGCTTACGTATGAACTATGTTTCATCAAGGCCATCTTCTCTGAATTAATCATCTGCAAAGTGCAAATGGTTCCTCTCACAAGTTCTGCCAGTGACTGCACTTTGGAGAATATTATCAATGTAGCAATTAACTTCCAGGCCATATATGATATGACAAGCTGTAGATTTGTGTGCCCTGAAGGAGATGTAGTTATGGCTATAAAATCAATACTACAACCTTTAAAAAAAATTCTGGTGTATTAAAACATATCTTTCTATGGACACATATTGACAACATGCTGTTGAATGACCCTGTTTTGCATTGGGTAATCTGTGGGACGTGACTAAGAGACTAAAGGTGGTTGTGCCTGTCTCTTTAAAAGTATAGAAGGACACTGTGGGGCGGTGTGGCTTCCCCAGGAAACAGGTGTGTGCTGAAAGCGATGATGTCATTGCTTTAAACTCACCTGGCAAAAGCGACAGCTCACACTACAGCTGGTGGATCTGATGATTCTCAGGTCATCACGGAGTCTTCTGCCAATCGAAAGCCGACTCCTTTGACATGGGGATTTTGCTTTGCTTGACATCTATTTTCAAAACCTGTGACTTTAATTTTGTACTTTCTGCTGCTGTCTGGTCCTGGAGCTGAAGGAACATCAGGTGAAGTGTTTTACGAATGTGCTCTCTGGAGGATATAAAAATATTTATACTTTTAACACGTACAGGAGCATTGCAAGCGATATGTAATAATAATAATAATAATAATAATAATATTGTATAAGTTATATGGAAGATGTGTGGATGGATTATTTGCCATCCTTTATAAGGAGGAAATGACTTGCTTTTATTGCTTTTAACTGTAATAACACTAATATTTCTAGTAATTTTGAATTACATTACCTACCGTACTGCTGTTAGTAGCTTCTTGGGGTAATCTGAGCATGTGAGCTGTATTTTAAACTGGCTGGTAAGTTCAGTGAGTGTGACATAAGTGGGTTTGGCTTAGTCAGAAAGCATAAAAGGATCTCAAGATATTTTGGATGATGTTGACATAGAGGGGTGATCAAAGCTCATCTGTCTGCCTGCCATTGTGGCAGAACCGGGCTCCCGCTAGTGATCCCAGACCCGTGGTTTCTGTGTTTAGCCAAGATCACGTGCTGGGATCAGTTGTGTGTTGTCTGGGAGTGGGCGGGACTCACAAACAGGGCACAGTCATGTGAAACCAAGCTGTTTGCTGAGGCAGCAATGTGCAATGTGTGTCTGAAGGACTTGGTGGAGTTGCACAAACCTGCAGGTAGGATCCCACGTCTCTGGGGAAGGCCCCCTTGAGGCCAACCTCCTCTCTCTGAGCGAGGCCTCCCCTCCTCTATACCAGGGGCACTGATAATGTGCATTAATCCTTTGCCAGTTCCCAGGCCTAACATGTAGCCCACACATGTTTGAACTGCTTCTGCTCCAGTTTTGAGGGGTATCTTTGGGTCTTCTTCCCAATCAAAACATTCACTATGCAGGCACTATGCCAAGGGATTTTTCTACTATGTTTGATGTGTCTTATTTCATTAATGTTGGCATACGCCCTTCACCACCCCCCCCCCCCTTCCCTTCTGGAACAATCCTCAGAAGCTGTTACCTATTTCATCATAATTGTTTCCCTAAAGACCCTGCAGGGAGAATGATGAGTGATCAATATTTTGGACACATCTAGCTCAGCTGATACAGACCTTAAGTGATCCACACACATAAATCATGCGTTGCTGTCCCGGGATCTGGCCCCGATCCAGCTCGCTGAAAGGCAAACTGGGCCAGACCGTGAGGGATAACGGACATTTCAGGAACGCTGCAGCTGCTGGCGTTTTGCTGCACGTCTTAGGGACACAGCTCAAGTGTTTTTATTTTTCATGCAGCACAAGGATCCTGCTAAAGTTTCAGTATCATTCTTATTGGTGATTTAAACTGTGTGTATGTTCTTAAGAAAAAAAACTTGGTGTTTTCTTTTTTTTAAACCGTGAACCTCAATGGTTAGAAATTACTAGGGCTTCAGAAGCATCTATTCAACTAAATTTAAAAATGATGCATCTTCAGCTGGTAGCTAACTAACAGACATTTGAATTTCACTACCACATTTATATCAGTAAGATAAAATGTTTGTGCTGTGGATTCCTCTGCCTTTTGGGACAGAAGGGCAGATGCTCAGCTGGAGCTGAGAGCAACATCATTGTTATTGAGAAGGCCTTTGTATTCAAACATTAGCCCTTGTCTTTTCAATGAATGGATTATTGTAGTAGAGAAGTGTTTTCACTACCCGTTTTGACCCACTGATTAAAATAATAATTTTAGAAAAAAACTAGTTAACAGTATTTAAAGTACAAGTCACTTTTTCCATGTGTTTTCTGCCCTCTGCTTCCCGTATTCAAACCTTAGGCATTTCGCAGTTATTTTGCACCTGATTGATGACTTGTACTGATTGTTTATTTTATGGCAGCAGACAGACTGGGAGCTACAGAGCTATTGGTGGGGGTGGGGGGTCATCCTGTGTGAACTTCCCAGGACGTGTCATTGCAGTGATAGCATAAATGTGTAAAGGGGGAAAAAAATCCCTGCAATCTGCTTGATGCGGTCGGTGATTATTGCACCCTCCTCCATTCCCCACACCCCTTCACTACCACCTTCCTCTTGGTTTGGTTTCAGTGGTTGTGAATAATATTAATTATTTCTTGAAAACTTCCACTCGAGACAAGCAGCTGTTTTTTTTATTGTGCTCCTTGTGGGGGATCATGAGAGATGACTCTGCTTTGGGGAGCCAGGCCTGACACTGGCATACAGATCATTTTACTGCTTGTTTGCTTAGCACTTCCCACCTTTCAATGTTCCACAAAGTACCTCTTGATAAGCTTGGTGTTGCTTTTTGTAGAGCATGTTTTTCTAAGTTCTTTTTTCTGCTTGTTACAGATTGTCCCTTCCCCACAATATTAGGTTCCATATTTTTTTTAGCTGCCAGTATAAAGTATAAATGTTTTTTGCCTGCTGGGACATAGGTACCACTTCCTTCTCAATGAATCGCTCTGGTGACACGCTTGCTTCTTGTGATAGTTATTCCTCAGTAACACCAGTGCCTTGAGAATGGCACCTTTGTAACCAGGTCCCATACTCATAGTAGTATCTCTCATCCTCCTGCCTCTCCATTGGTTTCCATGGTAGTGAATAAAAGCTGCTGATCATGTGGAAAACAGCAGCCTGCCCCTGCACTTCACCTGAACGTGCTCAATTTGGTTATGTGTTAGTGATGTGCCTTCAGAGTTGCAGATTATTAAAGCTTGGCTAGTGAGGAACAATCACTGGGCCAGGCCAGGGGGGGGGGGTGTAATCACTACTCAGAGCACAAAACAGCCCATTAGTCTTTTTGCCACTGCCAGCCTTTCTTCTCGGGCTTCCCCCATCGCTGTCCTGAATGATGAGAACGTGTTTCTTCAGTTTCTCATGCTCCTCTCAGTGCAGCATAAGAGCAGAAGCCCCCTGGATAACAGCAGTGTGTTGGTTCACAGCCCCATCTAGGATATTTAATTTTACTAAAGACACCTAGGATTCAGGGCTCATTTATGAGTAGACCTCTCTGCTTGCAAAGCCCCACACTGGAGTGCAGTACGACACTGTGATGTTTAAAAGCTGGAGGGACAAGCAGCCCAGAGCACTTTCCATCTTGGCCTCCCCTGTGCAGGATGCTTTCAGAGATGGTCCGTCACAATTTAGCTGGCTTTTTAATATTTGCTCTCCACAAGTCTAATTTATAGACCATGAAACACCCATGTTAATTGAACTGACTGTCATGTTGATATTTGGTGAGTCATTATAAGTACATAGTGTAGTCCTTATTTACATAGGATAATGATTGTATTAGTCATGTCTGTGTGGTTGAGTCACACACCTAATGTTGCGCCAAGTACAGGGTGTGTGCAAGGTCTCATTAGCCTTATGCATCACCTGTCATATTTTGTTTTTTTCTACCTTTAATTAATTAATTTTCCTGGGAATTAATTGTAGGACAGTGGTCCCTGTGATGGTTACCTATTGCAAGATACAGGGGGTAGCAACCTTCTGTTTTGTTTCCAGCTTGACTTAGAGGAGTGGACGAGTACCTCAGGATTGCCAGCTTTGGTCAGCTGGCTGGCATGAGATTTTCAATTCGAGACAAGTCTGCACACGCACCTACATGTATGTAACAGTTTTATTACCTTGTAAATAGTCTGTAGTGTTTCCAAACTATCCCAACGCTTCGACGCTTTTAGTGTAGCTAATTTTATGTTTATAATGTAATAATACAGATTTGCCGTAAGACTTTTTGCGTGAGAGTCAGAAAACGTGAGTGTCACGCCAGATGCGTTAGAGTTGGCAACCCTGATACCTACAGCACGAGTTGCGCAGCGTGGAGGGGTTGAAGAGTGCCTGAGTTTACGCAAATTGCGTAATCGCTGCGTAAACATTTCGGACAACACGCAGTGCGCGTGATTAATTGTTTAGCCTTTGCTGCCCGCTCCTGGGCGTAAGTCACGGGCGGCTGCTTATGAAATACAATTTGGAAATGCATTATCTAACAAGGCTGTGAGGATGTGTGTTTAACTTATCTTAATGGTGAGTGTCGGACCACACGATTCTCTGCCCGTAAACTCTTAATGATACCGACCAAACTTATGTATGCCAACAACAAAAAGCGTGGAGCTCACCAAATATGTATAAATAGCCCCCTGTTCCTGCAGCGGTGCCAGCACAGGCATGTTTAGCCAGCTGGGTAATGTAAAAGCTAATTTTATAAAGGGCTATGATGTTTTATTATACCTAACGGCCATTGTTTAAAGCATCGTTTCGCAAGATTTCCGGCGGTTAAGGAGCTGCAGGTAGAAAATGCGCACGGGGGCACATAGTTTACCTGTTATAACTCTTTGCTGAAAAGTCCAGTCCCCAGAGAGGCCGGTATGTATACAAGTCCCCCTACTCGTCGTGGTTGATTTGGAAAGCCCCGCCCCCGTCTCCGAGTGTTGGCTTTGTTTCGGGCTGCAGGTAACGGCGCTGCCCCTCCCCCAGCCAGGCCCGGCTCAGTCCTCTCTCTTTCCCTCCCTCCTAAGGAGGCATTATTATGGCTTCACTGCGCCCAGTAATTAGGTTGGGGGTGTTTTGTTCCGGGGCCGGGACGCAAAAGCTGACGCAAACATTTCGTAACTTTTAGGACGAGGCAGCACTGATACGGATGCCTTTTCTTACCTGAAGGCAGGATGCTTGAGCTGGATGATCATATGAAAGGATTGCAGCGTGTAAATCTGCAGATACGGATGAAGAAAAATGTGTACTTTTTGAACAGGGAAAACTGCGACTGGATGTACCACATGATAGTAAGTGTACCGTTAGCTAAATAATAGCGAACTTGGGAGCGCATGTGCTCGACAAGATACGGCGATTTTTTTTTTATGATTATATAGTTAATTTTTGGAACAATATATTCTTGCATTTAAATTGTAAGTTGAGTATGCCATCCGGGAAGCAAAGCGTGATACGCAGGCAGTAACTGTTGTCTATCTGGTATTCAAAGTGCATGAAGAGGAACTGAGCCCTCGCTCTCTCTCTCTCTCTCTCTCTCTCTCTCATAAGATATTGCATGTGGTGCTATGTTTGTTGCTGTGTATGTGGTGTTGGTGGGGGGGGGCATAGTAATCTTTTCATTAATAAAATACTTATTTTCTATGGGCTAATGATATCTTTCCAGCCAGTTAAATACTGGTAGTCGGATACTCCCTAGCTGAACATGATGTAATAATCATTCATAATGATCATAACAAGGAAGAATGCCTTAAAAACAACTGTATTTGAAATTCTTATTCTAATATAATTCTATAATATATTTTTTGTGCCTCATCAAGCAGAGTGTTACAATTTACACAAGTAAATATATGGATATTTGTATTTACTTCTTTGAAGTGTGAAACAACCCACGTTGTGGAATTAGGAACTGATCAGTAGTATCATAATCACTATGTACCCATCAGTAGTGTTTGCAAGATACATGTGCTAGGATCATACCACGATATATCCCTAACTACATATTATATATATTAATTTCATACTCTAATGTGACAGGTTGCTAAAGCATGATACAGGGCATTACTCGCCACCACAAGGCTATTTGTAAGGACCTTTCCTCACTTAATGTAGTGTACCCAAACCTATAATTCAGTGACTCTCTTTCTAGCGGTCACTGAAAACAGTACCTTTTTACATGCAGTTTAGGACTGGCCAAAGTGCACAAGGTCATAAATTTAAGGGCCACTTAAATCAAATTGAGCATTGTGAATTTCATCCATCCTTGAAATATGCAAAATAAGATACATTTACCAGTCCTTGTAGGTGAGTGAGTAAATTTTTAAGAGTTAATCTGTGTTGATTCACATTCTGTTTGTTCTGTGGATTTTGTTTTGGTGTAGATGTTTAATGACATTAGCTAATTTGGTACAGTCTGTGGCACAAAGTTGATGAATACATAGTGTCTGCTCTCACCTGATTGCTTGGTGTCATCGTGTTTCCTCATTGCTGTCTCCTGATTCCTCTTTCCATTCTCCCTGTAATAGCTGGTATATGTAGAGCTCGTCTGACCATCAAACAAACCCCCCCCCCCACCACCACCTTGCCCTGTACGACATCATAGCCCAGTTTCTCATATGCCTGCTACATGGAAGTCACCCCACTTCCCACTGTATTCAGTGTCACTTCAGGTTGTTGGAGACTGGAATATGTGTTTTGCTGTGAGAGCTGCGTACATCTGTCTTTAGTTCTGCCCCAAAAACAGATCCCCGTGAATATCTCTGTTTATGGAATTCTTATTTTTGATCTTTTGAGTAGTGTGCCAAAGAGGGGCTCAGCTGGTGGAGGGAAGTGGAGATGCTAGAACTTAAGCATTTCTCTGCTCCTCTGTAAAGGTGTGCTGACACTAGCTGACCTGTACCATGCCCAAGCACGTTTGACCCCCAAAGTCTAGTTCATGTCCACTTGATGAGGTGGGCCAGATCATGGTTAGTTGTACTTGGACACAGTATGCATCTAGTGTGATCGCTAACCGTGCCCTGGTATGGAACGCAGACATGACATCAGTGATGTAGCTGACATCTGCATGCACACATGCGCACTATACATGAACCAATCCCAGAAGGAACAGATTGGGTAGGCCGTACAGATCATGTCATATTTTTTTTGCAAAACTTTTAATTGTGATAAATTAAGCCTCAGTCTACTCCAGGACATACCCTGAGATTGCAGAGCATCATATTATGATCTTTCTGATTTATTGTTACAAAGAGAACAATCGATTAACGTTCTATTAAATTTATAAAGGGTATATCCACCACCGATTGTTGTGCATATCCTCCTTATTGTTACGTGATCCACAAATAGACAAGTGGATGGTGATATATTTTGGTATGAATTGGGCAAGAATCCGCAAATAAACAGGAGAGAAGTCACAAATGTAACATGATCCACAAATAGGCAGGGCGTGATCCACATATATGCAAACTCTTATCATGTGCACAAATAGCTCTGTATTTTTGTGGATATGATTTTACTAGGGCTATCAAAATTAATGGGTTAATGCAGATTAATCCGTCATCATGATTAATCTGATAAAATTTTTTTAACGCAATTAACCCATCTGCATCGCAGAATGACTCAAAATCCCTGAAATGTCTCTGTCAACCCATTTCGGGCAGTTTTAGTGCGTTCCATTTGCCCTCGGAACTCGTTTTCTGAGTCAGATTCTGGAGTTTTGAAGCCGGAAGTGACGACATGCGCTCCTGTTTCCCGGAGATCCGAGAAATATCTCGGAGCAGCACAGAGGATCCCGAGTTCAGAATCCAAGATCAGTGAGGGAGTGGGGGCAATCATGCTTCGGTAAGGTACAAGGCAACCTGGCCTAAGGCCTTTCTGGATTCTGCTCGTACCTCTGTGTCAGACCTGACAGATTGCACTTGTTTGTCCTGAACTGATTCCGTCTGATTGACTGACTGTTTGACAGTCATGTGGCCAGACAATAAACTTTTCCTTCAGTGTTTTTCTGAATGCAACTCCATTTTAAACTGAACTTCGTGAGTCATTTGTTTTGATGAGCTGCCATGACAGCAGCCTTTTCGGTCAGCAGGACACAGATTTGCTTGACCCGTGAGAATGCCACATTGTAACACTAACTACTGGGGGTGATTAGGGCACTTTGATGTGGGTCCTCCTTGATATGTGAGAACAGTCGTGCTGCATCAATGCAATTGCAGGAAAAGGGCTGGGATTTATAGTCATGTAGGCAGATGATGGACACTCCAGCCGTTTTAGTGGGCAGACTGTTCAGGGGCTGTATCACTTAGTGGTTCAGCTTTTACTCTGCTGGGATGCAACAAGCTGTAACATGTAGCTCCAATTAGGTAGTCAGTATTTTCCCTATGGCCCAATAAGCCAGTGAGAAAGCAGAATGTCACGTTTCCATCTGCTCTGTCTCATTCCAGAAGACTAGACTTTCAAAATGTTCCATTACTTTGTTAGGTTTTGTCTGTCATTATGGTAGTAATTTCGCCGTCTCATAACAGGTGCTTGAAGGCTTTTGTCACCTGTTGGGTGGAACATGCTAGTAATGGATAACACCCTGTGAGGTGAGTCAGGGTTGGGGCGAAAGGGGCGTGCTCATAAAGGGGTGGAGTCTTAGAGAAGTGGAGTCTCAGTTCAACACTGTTTCCAGCTGGGACAGATGTGTGCTGCCAGGGAGGAATGGTCAGCTGACAAGAGCAGAAGTGCTGGGGGGCAGTGCTGGCATGAAGTCTGCTATAGCCCACTTTGTGTGTGTAAATGATGTTTGTGATGTTAGCTTTTATTTTTTTTGTGAGCACAGCTGAGCCTGTTTCATTGATATGCTGTTTCCGGTGCCCATGTTGGCTGACTTTGGGTGAAGGCTGAAAGGTGAAGACTTGCTGCTAGAGGAAGTGATAATCAAAATATGTTCGGCTGAGAAGGGTGTTGTTGCCAATGTTTTAGTTTGTTGTGTTGAAATCCTGACGTTCAAATCTGAACATAGTAACAGACCAGATTGAGAGTCAGCATTATTTCTGTTTACTGTTAATACAAACCAGTCTTTTTTTGCCCTGATGATGCAGTTGTTGGACCATGAGATCTCAAACATGGGTTCTCAATCTCGAAATCTCAAGTTGGTGTTGGGGTTTACCATCACCCCCTTTGAAAGCCCCTACAGCTGTGGCCAAACGTTTTCAGAATGACACAAATATTGCTACCTCAGTTTTTATGATGGCAATTTGAATATACTCCAGAATGTTATGAAGAGTGATTCAAGTTTGCAATTAATTGCAAAGTCCATTTTTGCCATGAAAATTAACTTAATCCCAAAAAGCCCATTTCCACTGCATTTCAGCCCTGCCACAAAAGGACCTACTGACATCATTTCAGTGATTCTCTCGTTAACACAGGTGAAAGTGTTGACGAGGACAAGGCCAGAGATCACTCTGTCATGCTGATTGAGTTAGAATAGCAGGCTGGATGCTTTAAAAGGAAGGTGGTGCTTGAAATCATTGTTCTTCCTCTGTTAACCATGGTTACCTACAGTACAAGGAAACATGTGCAGTCATCATTGCTTTGCACAAAAAGGACTTCACAGGCAAGGATATTGCTGTTAGTAAGATTGCACCTAAATAAACCATTTATCAAATCATCAAGAACTTCTAGGAAAGAGGTTCAGTTGTCGTGAAGAAGGCTTCAGGGTGCCTAAGAAAGTCCAGCAAGCGCCATGAATGTCTCCTAAAATTGATTCAGCTGTGGGATCAGGGCACCACCAGTGCAGAGCTTGCTCAGGAGTGGCAGCAGGCAGGTGTGACTGCATGTGCATGCACAGTGAGGTGAAGACTTTTGGAGGATGGCCTGATGTCAAGAAGGGCAGCAAAGAACGCACTTATTTCCAAGAAAAACATCAGGGACAGACTGATGTTCTTTAAAGTGTACAGGGATTGGACTGCTGAGGACTGGGGTAAAATCATTTTCTCTGATGAATCCCCTTTCCAATCGTTTGGGGTATCCAGAAAAAAGATTGTCCAGAGAAGCAAATGTGAGCGCTACCATCAGTCCTGTGTCATGCCAACAGTAAAGCATCCTGAGACCATTCACTTGTGGGGTTGCTTCTCAGCCAAGGGTGTGGGCTCACTCGAAATTTTGCCTAAGAACATGCCCATGAATAAAGAAAGGAACGTTAATAGAACGTTACATCCTCCGAGAGCAACTTCTCCCAACCATCCAAGAACAGTTTAGTGACAAACAATGCCTTTTCCAGCATGATGTAGCATTGTGTCATAAGACAAAAGTGGGAACAAAACATCTACATTTTGGGTCCATGGCCAGGAAACTCCCTGGACCTTATTCGCATTGAGAACTTGTGGTCAATCCTCAAGAGGTGGGTGGACAAAAAACCCCCACAAATTCTGACAAGCTCCAAGCATTGATTATGCAAGAATGGACTCCCCTCATTCAGGATTTGGCCCAGAATTTGACTGACAGCGTGCCAGAGCAAATTGCAGATATCTTGAAAAAGAAGGACCAACGCTGCAAATATTGACTCTTTGCATAAACTTGATGTAATTGTCAATAAAAGCCTTTGACACTTATGAAATGCTTGTAATTATACTTCAGTATACCATATAAATATCTGACAGAAAGATCTACAAACACTAAAGCAGCAAACTTTGAGAAAACCAATACTTTTGACACGACTGTATTTTCTGTCCTTTATTACTGTGGCTTTGTTCACCCACTAGTTAGCGATTCATGGCGAGCAGGTGCCCTGAGCATTTCAAGCTAGGCCGCAGTGTGTAGATTATGTGGAGATATTCCAAACCGACTCATTATAGCTTTTTTCTGTATCTCTGGTAGGGAAAGGGTTTTCTAAGGCTACTGGTGTGTAACTATAATGAGGGATGCCATGTTCTTGACACAGGAGCAGACGGGTCATCAGGCTGGGCCCTAGACAGATCCTGATGCAGGCTAATCTGCGTGTCTGATTGGGCTAATCCCCTGCATGTGACCCACTGCTCAGGCCAGATGGGGTGTGTGTGTGACTACAGGCGTAGTATGCATCCTTATTTTTGAGTGTACTCTTTCTTGTATAAAACAGAAACTTACTGTAGCTTCGGTGTGCAATATGCAGTACAGTACCATCAAGGTTTATGTAAGTACACTTTATGATGTTTGCACAATGATGAAATTGCCTAACGACTCGTTTCACTGTGATGTAATTATGAATGTTGCCAGAGTGGAAGTCCAAGGGTGAAGGGTCAAGGCTGGGTATAGAACCATCAAACGAGTAAAAGGGTGATGCTAGCTCAATGTGGTTGGCGGTCCTATACGGTGTGGAGGGATGGGGTATCCATGGCATCTTTATCTGCCTAAATTAAACATGACTACCTTTGGGATCTTGGATTGAAGGGTGGCCCCCTCTCCCACATAGCATGTATGTAATATGGTTGATTGTGAATATCTGGATAGAGAAAAGGCTTCATTCAGCTCACCTGAGAGTGATCGAGTCCCAGGTCTCAGCATGGTAAGGAGTCCCAGTTGCTATGATGGCAAATTATTGTCACAGTGATGGTGGTACACTTGTGAGCAGCAAAATGTGACCTCCCAGATCCTTGTATGTTCCTGGGGTTACAGCTCCCAAAGATGAAGACTGGTGGGACGGATCTAACAGTATGAATTTCCATCAAGGTAGACATGGCTACAACAGCAGATACAGGTCTAGTCTCACTAGGCCACTGTGTTAGGATGTGTCACTGTACTGTGTTATTTTTAAGGGAAAAGCATTTTATAAATATTTCTGTTTTTCTCTGTCCTCCCCCCAGACTGGCTGAAGTGTAGCCAAGGATGTGTCTCGCATGGATGCCTCTGTAGAAGCAGAAAGGATACAGCAGTGACCCCTGTGCACACAGAAACACACGCCTCCAGCAACGACGACTGCAAGGCCTTTGGTAATACACTTGTTGAAGACTTCACAGACTGGCCTTGGGGGGAGGACTGAAGTGGCACCCTCAGGCCTAACAAACAGCTCACAGTGTGTGATTAAAGGGTCCCCAGAGGAAGGAGAGAGAGAACTGTTGTTCTGAAGACGGCACTTGTTTTTTTCGACTTCCCTGGACGTTTCCCTGCTCCAAAATACATAGTCACTTTTTTTCTCCATTAATCTATCTTTTTTTCTCATTTATTTATTAAAAAACAGGGCGCAATCTGCCAAAACTGTTTATATATTGATTTTTATTCTTCTACCTCTGTGGGGGCTTATCTGAGTAACGGGATCACATAACGCACAGTCCATTGGAGCCCAAGCTTACTCCTCGTCACCAAGGGGGCCCCACACGTATTCCTGGTCTGTTGGCAATGATGAGCCTGGCTGACCATCCCCTGCAGAAGGCAGTGTTCTGCTGATCCAGGTGGGATTGAGGGAGTGGGTGGTGGCATGTCGTGGAAGAGAAACTATTTTGCGTCGGGTGTCAGCAGTCTGCAGGGCATCTTTACACCACGCACCATGGCGTCCATCGCACCCAGCAAGGGTCTGAGCAACGAGCCTGGACAGAACAGCTGCTTCCTGAACAGTGCTCTGCAGGTGAGGCCTTCATCCATGCTTGTATTACTAGGTGTATTTAATGCATATAAAAAATGTAAATTGCACATATACAAGTAGTTAATCTGATGACGTTTACTGGTGAGTTTTGGAAAATATTTAAATGGAACGATACTACTGGCAGTGCTGGATTTTTCCTCTCCTCATACAAAAGAGAGTGTTAAAGTGTTGTCGCAAGATTAGCCAGCTTTAGTACAGATGGTGCCATTTTTCTGCTAGAGGTCTTTCTTTGAGGTTCTTCGTTAGCCAGACCCAGCTACAACCGCCTTTTGGTAAAAGAGATGCCTGCACTCCAGTGAGCTTTGCTGTTCTAGCATGATTAAGGGCTCCAGTGTCAAACTGCAAATCCATGGGCTAAATCTGTTGGGAGACTGGCCCAGAACCATTAGGCACCCTGGCATGGGCATGGGGGCACTTTCCATATACACTGTATGGACTAATACTTGTGAGCTCAAGCACTGATGTTAGACATGAAGGCCTGGCTCGCAATCTCCACTCTAGTTCATGCCAAAGGTGTTTGATGGGGTTGAGGTCAGGACTTTGTGTACACCAGTCAAATTCTCCCACAAATTCTTCCACACCAAACTATTCTTTACCATGTCTTTATTAAGCTTGTTTTATACACTGGGGCACAATTATGCTGGAACAGCAAAGGTCCTTCCCTAAACTGTTCCCACAAAGTTGGCAGCATATTGTCCAAAATGTCTTGGTATGCTTAAGGGTCCCTTCACTGGAACTTAGGGGCTTGCAGAAGGCAGTGTTCTGCTGATCCAGGTGGGATTGAGACAACTCCATATCATTATTCCACCTCCACTACACTTTACGGTTGGCACAGTGCAGTCTGGTAGGTAACGTTCTCCTGACATCCGCCAATCCCAAACTCATCCATCAGACTGCCAGACAGAGAAGAGTGATTCATCACTCCACAGAAAACATTTCCACTCCTCTACGACTGTGGCAAATAGTTTTGAGAATGTCACAAATATAAATTTTCTCCAGAATATTATGAAGAGTGATCAGATGAAAATGTACTTAATCCCAAAAATTCATCTCCACTGCATTTCAGCCCTAACACAGATGAGAGTATTGATGAGACAAAGCTGGAGATCACTATGTTATGATGATTGAGTTAGATTAGCAGACTGGATGCTTTAAAAGGAGGGCGGTGCTTGAAATCATTGTTCTTCCTCTGTTAACCACAAGTCTCTTTTTTCTGACTCACAACAGAGCAGAATGGAGCAGATGTAGGAACATTCCAGTTGTTGTGTTAAGCGCAGCTGCTGGGTTGCCACGGCGAATGGAGGAGGGGCTGGTTGGGAGGGGTACCGTCGGTAGGATTTGACCTCAGCAAACAGCTGCTGTTTTTACAGTCGATGTTGTCTTCTGTTCTCCATAAAGTCACTAATATCTTGTTGGATGGGTAGATGAACGCTGCTTTAGTTCCCAAACCTCTCCTCAGCGGGCCATAGCCATTTATTAGCCAAACAAGTAGTGCTAGTGGTCAACGAATACATGGGTTTAGTGGATGGTTACTGCAAATACTGTTGTAATTTTAGGACCTAGGCTGATACAGACATATCATAGTTTTAAGCCAACATGAACATCATTTAAACAATTTTTATAACACTATGTTTTTTATAAATTGACATGTGACAAACAGATGTTGGAACATGCATATGCATGGCATGCTGTTCACCTGAGCAAAGATTACACTGAAGAAAGCCTGCTACAGTATATCCAGTCAGGTCAGGAAAATGGGCATGTGGAATTAATTATTGCACATTAACTCAGTTGCTGGAGTCTCCTCCTGAGATGGGCGTCATTATTTAAAATGCTGCTGGCCCTGTGACTCTGGCCACTGTCCTTGTTGCTCATCAGCAGCTAATGGGGCCAGATTTTGATCTTCTGATAATCGGAGCATTTTCAAATTGGAACTGCCATCCACATGGCTTCTTGTTGCTAGGATATGCAGCCCCTTTTATGCGTTGCCTTTGCAAAATGGAAAAAAATCTGAACTACACTCGGGTGACGATCTCAGATTAGTCCTGAAAAGGCTACACGGACTTATCCCCCCTTCCCCCAGGTTCAGACATAAAGGATCACAGAGGAAAAAAAGAAAAAGTTTATGCCAACCTGCATTAGTCACATTCCTTGTCCATGACAAGAAATAAAAAGATTGGAAATTGGAAGTCATGAGGCTTGACATGCCCCCCCCCCTCCCAGAAAAGGGAGTATGACCCCAGGCTTCAGGAGGTGATATTCATGTCATCATAGGAGGGAATCAAGCTGAAGTATGAGTTTGCTTGGCATCCATGCTGGATCGGTGCTGGCCTGAGATGTGTGTCCATTTCAGGAGGGATGGAGAAGAGTACCTGTTGTTTGTGCGTCCAACGGTTTTCCACTGGTGGCTGTCTTCGATAACGATTATCCCATAAGTTACCTGTCATTGGTTTTCTTCTGTTGTTGAACTGCCTTATAATTAACAGAATAGACATAAAATTATTTGGGCACTGGAAAATACAGTAGTATGCAAAAGTTTGGGCACCCCTCGATAACATATTTTTTAATGGAAAAGATGTAAACACAGTCTCTGTAGGAAATGTAAAAAATGCACAATATTTACACCAAACATTGATGCATAGTTACTTTTTATGTCATAAATTGAACAAAGATAAAAAATAAAAATTATTGTGGCACTGTGCAAAAATTTGGGCACCCTACATAATCAGTACTTAGTAACACCTCCTTTGGCAGATATCACAGCTTGCAAACACTTTTTATAGCCAGCTAAAAGTCTTTCAATTCTTGTACTTGGGATTTTCTCCCATTCTTCCTTGCAAAAGGCTTCTAGTTCTGTAATATTCTTTGGTCGTCTTGCATGCACAGCTCTTTTAAGGTCTACCCACAAAATTTCAATGATGTTTAAATCAGGGGACTGTGATGGCCATTCCAAAACCTTCAGCTTGTGTCTCTTGTGTTACGTGCATGCAGGCAGGCGAGCGGGGAAGCAGGCGAGTAGAGCCGGTAAATACGGACAAACGGGGTTTATTTCCTAGACAGGAGGCACACCAGGCAAAACCAGCACTAAACATCACAACAATACAATGACAGATCTGGGAAGACTAACTCAGACGCAGACTAAATACACAGGACAAGCCAAGAGAAACAGGAAACAGGTGATGACAATCGGGAATTGACACGAGGTAACGAGGGGGAGTGGCACACACGAGGATCGTACAAGCCGGGTGTAACAGAACCCCCCCGTAAAGGCATGCACACTGGGCACGCCCCAGGGGAGGTGACGGATGAGACGAGGGAACAGGACCTGAAAGACAAAACCAAAACATCAGCGGGGCACCGGAAACAGAACAGACCGCAGAAGCCAGGACAAGACCTGACACAGAACGGGATGGGCTGGACCTCCGGCGCAGGCGGGTCCGGCACAGGCGGGGCGGCGGCATCAGGCAGGGCTGCGGGCAGATCAGCACCTCAGTGGGCACCTCGGGCGTGCGGCCAGCAGGGGGCGCCTCAGCAGGCGCCGCCGACACGTGGCCAGCAGGGGGCGCCGCAGCGGGCACCTCGGACGGTGCCGCGGGCAGAGCGGTGGCAACAGCAGCAGCAGCAGACGGTTGGGCACTTCACCCAGCGTGTCCAGGTCAGGCGCTTCCCAACGAGGCTGGGTCCCTTTAAGGGATCGCGGGACCCGTCGGATAGCGTCCAAGACGGACTCGATCCCCACATATTCTAGGCGGCCACCCTGGGACATGGAGGCTGGTGGTGACGGTGGCTGCGCGGCTGTGGTAATCCCCTGGGGCTGCTGAGTCAGGAGGGGTTCCTCCTGACATTCCGCGGGAAGAGGGGCGGCGGAGAGATTACAAGCCCCCAAGAAGATTGTCAGGGCGGCTTCCTTTCCGCTGCGCCTCTTTTTCTTACGCCGGCCGGGACCGGTAGGTGGAGGCGGGGTTGCCTCTGAACAGGCAAGTGGCTGGAGCCGCTTCTCTTCTACACGTTCGACGAGCTGTCGAAAATTGGAGCGCACTTCCGCAATTGAGTGCACCTCCGTGCTTGGGGTAACCTCTTGTAAGAGGGTCCAGCTCTGGTCTGCTAAGACGAGCAAGCCGGGGTCCTCATGGACCTCCGGCTGATCTTGCCAGTACTTCACCTCGTGCAGCAGGATCAGCCATGGGTCTTCCTCCTGCTGCGGTGAGTCTTTTGGGAGATCTGTCATTCTGTTATGTGCGTGCAGGCAGGTGAGCGGGAAAGTAGGCGAGTAGAGCCGGTAATACGGACAAACGGGGTTTATTTCCTGTACAGGAGGCACACCAGGCAAAACAAGCACTAAACATCACAACAATACAATGACAGGTCTGGGAAGACTAACTCAGACATGGACTAAATACACATGACGAGCCAAGAGAAACAGGAAACAGGTGATGACATTCGGGAATTGACACGAGGTAACGAGGGGGCGTGGCACACACGAGGATCGTACGAGCCGGGCGTAACATCTTGAGATAGTCCATGGTGGATTTCGAGGTATGTTTAGGGTCGTTGTCCTGTTGTAGAAGCCATCCTCTTTTCAGCTTCAGCTTTTTTACAGATGGTGTGATGTTTGCTTCCAGAATTTGCTGGTATTTAGTGGAATCCATTCTTCCCCGTGCAATGTTTCCTGTGCCACTGGCTGCAACACAACCCCAAAGCATGATCGATCCACCCCCATGCTTAATAGTTGGCAAGGTGTTCTTTTCATGAAATGCTGCTCCTTTTTTTTCTCCAAACATGCCGTTGCTGATTGTGGCCAAAGAGTTCTATTTGAACTTAATCAGTCCACAGCACTTGTTTCCAAAACGCATCAGGCATCTGTAGATGTTCTGTTGCATACTTCTGACGTTGGATTTTATGATGGGGACACAGATAAGGTTTTCTTCTGCTGACTCTTTCATGAAGGTCTTGTGGAACGGTGCACCACCACTCCTGAGTTT